AGTCGACATCGTGCAGCCAACCTGAACGGTCTCCTCGATTGCTATGCGAGATTATTATTTGTTGGCGGAATAAAGGGTAGGACTGATGTTTAAGATTTACAAAGTTTTGCTCTGATTAGATCGTAATAGGAAAATATTTCATTTATCATTGTTTTTTTCTTTTTTTCGCGGTCTTTATATCCTTGATTTTCCTTTTGTCAACAAAATATCTTTTTCGAATGGTCTTCAACTTCGTTTTTTTTCTATGCCTTGTATTGAGAGAGAGAGAGAGAGAGAGAGAGAGAGAGAGAGAGAGAGAGAGAGAGAGAAGAGAGAGAGAGAGAGAGAGAGAGAGAGAGAGAGAGAGAGAGAGAGAGGGAGAGGGGGGAGGGGAGGGAGGGGAGGGGAGAGGTAGGTAGGTAGGTAGGTAGGTAGGTAGGTTGGTTGGTTGGTTGGTTAATGATCAAAATGAGCTAGAAATCAAAGGTCACAGAAAACACTATGGCAATACATTGTAGCGAAAAGGGTTGTTACGATTACGGTAAAGTGTGTAAAAAGTTAAACAGCACTATATGGTAGTATGCTAGTGAAAGGACAGAAGGGAAGCTGATGGGGTATAACATAAGGGAAGGGTTGTTAAAAGGGGGGGGGGTGAATTAAGGGCAAAGGGCGATTAGATCAAATGGAGGTTATTTGTGCGTCTGAGGAAGGAGAACAAGGTGCCAAAGGAAAAGTTAGGGAAAAGAGAGAGAAGAGAAGAGGGATGAGTCAGCGTTTAGAAATTATAGTCCTATAGTTAATCGTCTATTGCGATAGTTAATTATCTCTTAATTATTATTGCTATGAACATCACTGTCATTAACATTATAACAACTGTTATCATTATGAAAATATCGCTGACATCAGTACCTTCATTATCATGATTATTTATGCACGTCATTCGATAAGTAATTTCTATTTTTAGTCAAAGTAATATAGATGAACACATAATGACAATAAGACGCACATAATTATAATAATGATAATGATAATAATAATAATAATGACAATAATGATGATAACAATAATGTTAATAATAAATATAATGATGATAATGTTAATGCTAGTAATAATGATAATAATAATATTATTATCATCATCATCATTAATGGTACTAATATTCATAATAACGATAATGATGAGGATGAGGATGATGACGATAACAATGATAATATCAGTTTATTGATGATATTGATAGTACTCCTGATGATAATAGTGATTAAACTAATGATGATAATAATAATTACTATTATTAAAATTATGATAATGGTAATAATGACAATAAAAATGTTATGGTCATGAAAATAATAACAGTAATGATAATAGTGATAACGATAATAGAAGTGATGATAATGATAATAATAATAGAAGTGATGATAATGATAATGATAATAGAGGTGATGATAATGATAATGATATTAATAGTAATGGCAAGGATAACAATCATGATAAAAATCTTGATAACCATAGTTATTATAATCATGATTATAATCATAACAATGGAATGTAATGATTGCATCTACAATTACTCTTAGCTTTTAGCATTTTCATAATTGCTCTTAACATAACCATCATTAGTCTGCGTTATTTGAATCATCAGTGTCGGTATTATAAACATAATTACCATCACAATTATCATGATAACCTCATCCTCAGCCACACGTCATTATCATTATCCTCATTGCCATTCACTTCCATTATCCAGGTCCTTGGTGCGCAGATTACATACCCCTGGATCGCCAATTATCATGAAATGGCTTTGATCACTCGGTTAATTATTGACACTGGTATAACGGTTCACACACACATATATATATATGTGTGTGTGTGTGTGTGTGTGTATGTATGTATATATATATATATATAATATATATATATATATATATATATATTATATATAATTATATATGTAAATATATATATAATTATAATATATAATATATATATATATATATATATATATATATATATATATATATATATATATATATTGTGTGTGTGTGTGTGTGTGTGTAAATGTATATACACTTAATATTGATCTATATAGACACCGTTTAAACAGGTAACATTTTTCACTTTAAGTGGTATTTGCGTCATGTTCCTTTGTTTCAGGTGCGCACATAAGCAGATATTAGAACATCCAATAGATGATTCTGCTACAGTACCAAGCACCACGTAGGGCGGCCAAGCTTTAAGCAGAGGAGGCTACCCTCTTCTCACTGGCGCCGTCCCTATCACACCATTTTACTGTTACCTATTCATTCACCTGTTTCACTGCATATTCTTACGTAATTTCCCGTCAGGTATATTCCCCCGATAGTTCTCTTATCATGGAGACCATGGAGGACACCGAGACAGTTGACATCACCTTCGTCTTCTCGGAGAAGTCCGTTCGGATGGGCTTCATAAGGTGAGGTTCATGAGACTTTTTCTTTTTTCTCACTCCCGCTATCCCTTTTCCTATTATTTCTTCCCACCCTTCGAATGTGAAACATTGAATGTGCTTAGGAATTCATGATGAATAGAAATACACAAGATAAACGAAAAACTATTTAATTCTCATGGAACAAATGAAGTCGATATTCAGCTTGCATGCTTTAAAAAGAAAAAGAAATAAAAGGCTTTAACCCCATTCTTTCCACCGAACAGGAAGGTGTACACCATCTTGTGCACGCAGCTCCTGGTTACCTTTGGTATTATAGCCATCTTCGTGGGTGTGCCCGCCGTCAGTGACTACACCTACAACAACCTATGGATGCTCTGGGTCGCCATAGGCCTGAGCTTCGCCCTAATCATCTGCTTCTGCTGCTCTGGCAACCTGAGGAGGAAGACACCGTGGAACTACATTGCGCTGTCCGTGTTCACCATCTGCGAGGGGTTCCTGCTCGGGGTCGCGAGCGCGCATTATCAGGGGAAGGAGGTCGCCATCGCCGTTGCGACCACGGCGGCGGTGACGCTGGTGCTCACACTCTACGCTTGCCAGGTGAGGGGATGGAGAGACAGGTGAGAGGGGAGAAAAGGAGGGAAAGGTGGAGGGCAAGATGGAAGGGAGCAAAGAAGGTGGGAAGGATGGTGAAAAGGAGTAAAGTGGGGTGGGTAGGAAGGAGTGGGAGATATAATAAATGGAAGGGGAAAGAGTGAGAGAGGTAGAAAAGGAAGGGATAGGGGAAAAAAGAGGAAGAAAAAGGAGGAAAAGGAGGTGATGGGGGAGATTTCATTTGCCTTGACAACAAATGAGATGAAGGTTTACATCGGAAAGGCGTGAGACAACCAACTGTATGTCGGTTGTCTTAAATCTTATTACATAACATTATTCCTGGTGTTATTTCCCAGCTGTTATGTTAATTGACTGCAGTGATGGAGATCTAGTCGGCAACTGTAGAGCTAAACTCTGCCCACTTGCTCTCACATGACGCAAACATGACTGGTTTCCGTTTCTATATATTTTCCGTCAGTTTTTCACCATTCATTATTAAAGTATATTATATACACACTGCTGTGCTGATATATATACATATGCATATATATACAAATATACATGTACATATAAATAAATACATATATACTTATATGAAAGAAAAAGTGAATATATATAATATATATAAATATAAGAATATATGAAAATTTATTAATATGTATATATGTATTTCTATATGCATGTATAAATATATACACATATATATGGATATATGTATATATACATATACATATACACATGAAGTAATTTCAAAGAAAGTTTTACGCAGCCTTATGACAGAATCCTTTGCAAATTGCATGGGGCAGATAGTATTGAATGGGACAGATAGTATTGAATGGGACAGATAGTATTGAATGGGACAGATAGTATTGAATGGGACAGATAGTATTGAATGGGACACATAGTATTGAATGGGACAGATAGTATTGAATGGGACACATAGTATTGAATGGGACAGATAGTATTGAATGGGACAGATAGTATTGAATGGGACAGATAGTATTGAATGGGACAGATAGTATTGAATGGGACAGATAGTATTGAATGGGACAGATAGTATTGAATGGGACAGATAGTATTGAATGGGCACATAGTATTGAATGGACAGATAGTATTGAATGGGACAGATAGTATTGAATGGGACACATAGTATTGAATGGGACAGATAGTATTGAATGGGACACATAGTATTGAATGGGACAGATAGTATTGAATGGGACAGATAGTATTGAATGGGACAGATAGTATTGAATGGGACACATAGTATTGAATGGGACAGATAGTATTGAAGGGACACATAGTATATGAATGGGACAGATAGTATTGAATGGGACAGATAGTATTGAATGGGACAGATAGTATTGAATGGGACAGATATATTGAATGGGACAGATAGTATTGAATGGGACAACATAGTATTGAATGGGACAGATAGTATTGAATGGGACACATAGTATTGAATGGGACAGATAGTATTGAATGGGACAGATAGTATTGAATGGGACAGATAGTATTGAATGGGACAGATAGTATTGAATGGGACAGATAGTATTGAATGGGACAGATAGTATTGAATGGGACAGATAGTATTGAATGGGACAGATAGTATTGAATGGGACAGATAGTATTGAATGGGACAGATAGTATTGAATGGGACAGATAGTATTGAATGGGACAGATAGTATTGAATGGGACAGATAGTATTGAATGGGACAGATAGTATTGAATGGGACAGATAGTATTGAATGGCACAGATAGTATTGAATGGGACACATAGTATTGAATGGGACAGATAGTATTGAATGGGACACATAGTATTGAATGGGACAGATAGTATTGAATGGGACACATAGTATTGAATGGGACAGATAGTATTGAATGGGACACATAGTATTGAATGGGACAGATAGTATTGGAATGGGACAGATAGTATTGAATGGGACACATAGTATTGAATGGGACAGATAGTATTGAATGGGACACATAGTATTGAATGGGCAGATAGTATTGAATGGACAGATAGTATTGAATGGGACAGATAGTATTGAATGGGACAGATAGTATTGAATGGGACAGATAGTATTGAATGGGACAGATAGTATTGAATGGGACAGATAGTATTGAATGGGACAGATAGTATTGAATGGGACAGATAGTATTGAATGGGACAGATAGTATTGAATGGGACAGATAGTATTGAATGGGACAGATAGTATTGAATGGGACACATAGTATTGAATGGGACAGATAGTATTGAATGGGACACATAGTATTGAATGGGACAGATAGTATTGAATGGGACAGATAGTATTGAATGGGACAGATAGTATTGAATGGGACACATAGTATTGAATGGGACAGATAGTATTGAATGGGACACATAGTATTGAATGGGACAGATAGTATTGAATGGGACAGATAGTATTGAATGGGACAGATAGTATTGAATGGGACAGATAGTATTGAATGGGACAGATAGTAATTGAATGGGACAGATAGTATTGAATGGGACAGATAGTATTGAATGGGACAGATAGTATTGAATGGGACACATAGTATTGAATGGGACAGATAGTATTGAATGGGACACATAGTATTGAATGGGACAGATAGTATTGAATGGGACAGATAGTATTGAATGGGACAGATAGTATTGAATGGGACACATAGTATTGAATGGGACAGATAGTATTGAATGGGACAGATAGTATTGAATGGGACACATAGTATTGAATGGGACAGATAGTATTGAATGGGACAGATAGTATTGAATGGGACAGATAGTATTGAATGGGACAGATAGTATTGAATGGGACAGATAGTATTGAATGGGACAGATAGTATTGAATGGGACATAGTATTGAATGGGACAGATAGTATTGAATGGGACACATAGTATTGAATGGGACAGATAGTATTGAATGGGAACATAGTATTGAATGGGACAGATAGTATTGAATGGGACACATAGTATTGAATGGGACAGATAGTATTGAATGGGACAGATAGTATTGAATGGGACAGATAGTATTGAATGGGACAGATAGTATTGAATGGGACAGAATAGTATTGAATGGGACAGATAGTATTGAATGGGACAGATAGTATTGAATGGGACACATAGTATTGAATGGGACACATAGTATTGAATGGGACAGATAGTATTGAATGGGACAGATAGTATTGAATGGGACCAGATAGTATTGAATGGACAAGATAGTATTGAATGGGACACATAGTATTGAATGGACAGATAGTATTGAATGGGACAGATAGTATTGAATGGGACATGATAGTATTGAATGGGACACATAGTATTGAATGGGACAAGATAGTATTGAATGGGGACAGATAGTATTGAATGGGACACATAGTATTGAATGGGACAGATAGTATTGAATGGGAACACATAGTATTGAATGGGACAGATAGTATTGAATGGGACAGTAGTATTGAATGGGACCAGATAGTATTGAATGGGACAGATATTATTGAATGGGACAGATAGTATTGAATGGGACAGATAGTATTGATGGGACAGATAGTATTGAATGGACAGATAGTATTGAATGGGACAGATAGTATTGAATGGGACAGATAGTATTGAATGGGACACATAGTATTGAATGGGACAGATATATTGAATGGGACAGATAGTATTGAATGGGACAGATAGTAATTGAATGGGACAGATAGATTGAAGGGACAGATATTATTGAATGGGACAGATAGTATTGAATGGGACAGATAGTATTGAATGGGACAGATAGTATTGAATGGGACAGATAGTATTGAATGGGACAGATAGTATTGATGGACAGATAGTATTGAATGGGACAGATAGTATTGAATGGGACAGATAGTATTGAGTGGGACAGATAGTATTGAATGGGACACATAGTATTGAATGGGACAGATAGTATTGAATGGGACACATAGTATTGAATGGGACAGATAGTATTGAATGGGACACATAGTATTGAATGGGACAGATAGTATTGAATGGGACAGATAGTATTGAATGGGACAGATAGTATTGAATGGGACAGATAGTAATTGAATGGGACAGATAGTATTGAATGGGACAGATAGTATTGAATGGGACACATAGTATTGAATGGGACAGATAGTATTGAATGGGACAGATAGTATTGAATGGGACAGATAGTATTGAATGGGACAGATAGTATTGAATGGGACAGATAGTATTGAATGGGACAGATAGTATTGAATGGGACATAGTATTGAATGGGACAGATAGTATTGAATGGGACAGATAGTATTGAATGGGACAGATAGTATTGAATGGGACAGATAGTATTGAATGGGACAGATAGTATTGAAATGGGACAGATAGTATTGAATGGGACACATAGTATTGAATGGGACAGATAGTATTTGAATGGGACACATAGTATTGAATGGGACAGATAGTATTGAATGGGACAGATAGTATTGAATGGGACACATAGTATTGAATGGGAACAGATATTATTGAATGGGACAGATATGTATTGAATGGGACAGATATGTATTGAATGGGACAGATAGTAATTGAATGGGACAGATATATTGAATGGGACAGATAGTATTGAATGGGACAGATAGTATTGAATGGGACAGATAGTATTGAATGGGACAGATAGTATTGAATGGGACAGATAGTATTGAATGGGACAGATATATTGAATGGGACAGATAGTATTGAATGGGACAGATAGTATTGAATGGGACAGATAGTATTGAATGGGACAGATTTATTGAATGGGACAGATAGTATTGAATGGGACAGATAGTATTGAATGGGACAGATAGTATTGAATGGGACAGATATATTGAATGGGACAGATAGTATTGAATGGGACACATAGTATTGAATGGGACACATATATATGAATGGGATATATTGAATGGGACAGATAGTATTGAATGGGACACATAGTATTGAATGGGACAGATAGTTATTGAATGGGACAGATAGTATTGAATGGGACAGATAGTATTGAATGGGACAATAGTATTGAATGGGCACAGATATATGAATGGGACATGATAGTATTGAATGGGACAGATAGTATTGAATGGGACAGATAGTATTGAATGGGACAGATAGTATTGAATGGGACAGATAGTATTGAATGGGACAGATAGTATTGAATGGGACACATAGTATTGAATGGGACAGATAGTATTGAATGGGACAGATAGTATTGAATGGGACACATAGTATTGAATGGGACACATAGTATTGAATGGGACAGATAGTATTGAATGGGACAGATAGTATTGAATGGGACAGATAGTATTGAATGGGACACATAGTATTGAAATGGGACAGATAGTATTGAATGGGACAGATAGTATTGAATGGGACAGATAGTATTGAATGGGACAGATAGTATTGAATGGGACACATAGTATTGAATGGGACATAGTATTGAATGGGACAGATAGTATTGAATGGGACAGATAGTATTGAATGGGACACATAGTATTGAATGGGACACATAGTATTGAATGGGACGATAGTATTGAATGGGACAGATAGTATTGAATGGGACAGATAGTATTGAATGGGACAGATAGTATTGAATGGGACAGCATAGTATTGAATGGGACACATAGTAATTGAATGGGACAGATAGTATTGAATGGGACAGATAGTATTGAATGGGACACATAGTATTGAATGGGACACATATGTATTGAATGGGACACATAGTATTGAATGGGACAGATAGTATTGAATGGGACACATAGTATTGAATGGGACACAGATAGTATTGAATGGGACACATAGTATTGAATGGGACAGATAGTATTGAATGGGACAGATAGTATTGAATGGGACAGATAGTATTGAATGGGACAGATAGTATTGAATGGGACAGATAGTATTGAATGGGACACATAGTATTGAATGGGACACATAGTATTGAATGGGACAGATAGTATTGAATGGGACAGATAGTATTGAATGGGACAGATAGTATTGAATGGGACAATCATAGTATTGAATGGGACAGATAGTATTGAATGGGACAGATAGTATTGAATGGGACACATAGTATTGAATGGGACAGATAGTATTGAATGGGACAGATAGTATTGAATGGGACACATAGTATTGAATGGGACAGATAGTATTGAATGGGACACGATAGTATTGAATGGGACAGATAGTATTGAATGGGACACATAGTATTGAATGGGACATAGTATTGAATGGACAGATAGTATTGAATGGGACACATAGTATTGAATGGGACACATAGTATTGAATGGGACAGATAGTATTGAATGGGACAGATAGTATTGAATGGGACAGACATAGTATTGAATGGGACAGATAGTTGTATTGAATGGGGACAGATAGTATTGAATGGGACAGATAGTATTGAATGGGACAGATAGTATTGAATGGGACAGATAGTATTGAATGGGAACAATAGTATTGAATGGGACAGATAGTATTGAATGGGACACATAGTATTGAATGGGACAGATAGTATTGAATGGGACAGATAGTATTGAATGGGACACATAGTATGAATGGGACAGATAGTATTGAATGGGCAGATAGTATTGAATGGGACAGATAGTATTGAATGGGACACATAGTATTGAATGGGACACATAGTATTGAATGGGACAGATAGTATTGAATGGACAGATAGTATTGAATGGGACAAGATAGTATTGAATGGGACAGATAGTATTGAATGGGACACATAGTATTG